TTTCACTATTGGAAACTAAGAGACCTTGCTTGATATAGTGCATCATTCTTCTGCATAATAATAATTTCACTATTCTAAGTTCTTGGGATGACTGATCTGAAGAAATTAGACTAAACTCAAGTTTGCAACGACACAAAAGTAAAGTTTATTGATTTAACGCAGACAAATCAATCGAAGCGTCCACAGAAAAAATGGAGTACAACTGCTTTACTGGTGAGAGTTCTATAGTCAAGAAGTTTGGTGAAAGTCTGGTTTAAGCTGAGAGAATTACCCATTATATACATAACACAATAGGCTTTATTTTCACAGAGTCCACTCGTCTACTTGACTATTCTATATACCGCATCTTGTTAAGTAGAATAAACTTGTAACCACATCAGTTTGAGTCAGGTAAAGTGTGAATTATCTTCTTCAGTGGTCTAGCACCCAGTTGAAAACACTGGCAGGTGATCCTTCTGTAAACAACGAGATATGACATGTTGGGTGTCGAGGCTACATCTACTGAAATTTTGCTATCAAGTAACATAGTTACCCCTTTCAGACCGCGCATAATCACGGTAGCATGATATGTACATAGTTACGGTACCATGATATGATAGCCGAGCAATTTGAAACCTGATTCGTTGAATCTCTCACGTCAATTCTGAGTGCAAAATAAACGGTGTATGAAGACAATATATCCCAGTGAGTCTACAGATATGTTTCTATGTGTCGTGTGTAAAAGTGCTGTAAAAGGACAGTTCGAAAGACATCACTGGAGGCAAATCTGAGATTATAGGGTAAGGTTTCATATTTTGTTAGATAATTATCCATAATTTAGGTTGCACAACATCCTTACGTTTTATTTTTTGGGGAATAAATATCATTGTAAAAGCAGTAGCAAAATAATAAATTTTCTAATAATTACCAATGAATAAATTTACAAAAACGTTGTTTAGAAGAAAGATGGTGGTTTGGTTAACATAACATAACATAATATTTTGGGACAACATGAGATCTATTGATCCATCTCGGCTGTTCCATCCTCTAAACTAAATTAAAATGATTAAATAAAATTTTAAACCCAGCCCTTTTCATTCATATACTTATCAAATTTTTTCTTAAACTCACTTAAATTTACTGCCTCAACAACATCTAAAGGCAACCTATTCCAAAGGCCAACCACCCGGTTAGAAGAATGAAACTGTCTTAGCTGAAGATGACTTCTACCTTGCCATAAATTATATTTGTGTCCTCTAGTCCTACTATTCTCACTGTTAAATATAAAAAAAATATACATTAACACTATCAATTCCCTTTACAATCTTAAACACCTCAGTCAGATCCTCCTAACTCTTCTTTTTTCAAGTGAAAACAATTTGAGAGATTTCAGCCTCTTGTTGTATGACAACCCCTCCATCCCAGGTACCATTCTAATAACTCTTCTCTGAACCCTTTCCAGCAATACAATGTCCTTCCTAAGGTAAGGAGCCCAAGACTAAACACAATATTCCAAATGTGGCTTAACCAGTGACCTGTACAATGAAAGTATAACCTCTTTAGACTTGTATTCAA